TTGTTGTTTTTTTCTCATATTGGGATGTACATCCAATTCAAACAGTCGTGAAATTAAAAAAAAATGTAGGGTGGTGCATGATTTCATACATTGGGAAGTGATTGGATCATTGGATAATTGCTAACAAAATGGAAGAATACTGAGCAGTTGAAGAAAGCAGGGCATAAATGAGATACGGCCTGATAGACCCACCCTAAAGGCATTCCATTAGACCAGAAATGAAAGAAAAGTCATTTCGAGGGGGCTGGGAAGAGTAAATTCATTCCTTCATTCATTTTCTTTTCGGCTTAGTCCCTTTATTAATCAGGGGTCACCACAGCGGAAAGAACCGCCAACTAATCCAGCATATGTTTTACGCAGCGGATGCCCATCCAGCTGCAACTCATCACTGGAAAACACCCTCACACTCTTATTTATACAAACAAACTACAGACAGTTATAGCTTACCCAATTCTCCTATACCGCATGTCTTTGGACTGTGGGGGAAACCGGACAGCTGGAGGAAACCCACAAGAACACGGGGAGAACATGTAAACTCCACACAGAAATGCCAACAGAACCAAGCCAAGGCTCAAACCAGCAACCTTCTTGTAATCAACAAATGTGTTTAATTAAAGATTAAGATGACACTTAAAAGGATTACATAGTACAAACATACATAAGCAAATACATATAGATACACACTTATTGGACATACTGCACCATTCCAATTAATATTAAGAATATACTGCTGCAAAACACCATAAGTAAACCATACAGGTCAGAATTGGGGCAAAATGTACTGTGTATTAATATAACTAAACAATTACAACTCCCAATGAGGCCCTGTTTACACCTAGTGTTTATGTGCACTTTGGCTCACAAGACGAAGAAGAGAAATTACTGTATTCACCTGCTGTTTTCATCTGTTTCTGATGGACAAACTTTTTTTTACTGATTTCTTTGATTGGGTGGCAAAATATATGTATGGGCTTTTTCCTATGTTTCAATTTAATATGGCAAAAAAGCTTCAAAAATGTACTTGAACACCGGCAATGTAAAACAATTAGGAAAGAGTATCAACTTTCATTTCTGCACTGAGAGCCAAAAAACTGTGGTAAATTCAGTTTTTTTTTTTTTTCATGGCAAGTTTCATTTCTGGCTTGCACACTTCAACAACACATCCCATAATTTTTGTAGAATTGGACTGTTGGGATGCTTTTGACCACATGAATGTCTGCACTTACAGCAAGCCTTAATCTTGCAGCAAACGTCTACACTTAAAGCAAAATCTCTAAAATTCTCCAAAGCAGAAAAGTAAAGAAATGCTCCAAAAAAAGAGCAAGCCAAAAAAACAACATTTTGCTTTGCCATGTTATCTTAGAGCCAAGATACAAGATAGCTCTTGTAAACATGACTGTATAAACATGCAAAAACACGAACACTCACACACACTTGCCATCTTCCTCCCGGCACATGCATAATTACCACACCTGCTTGCTTGATAAAAGATGCGCATATGGTCCACCACCCATTTCTCTCCCAGCGCTGCTGAACTCAGTTGCCTCCAATGTGTGCCAACTGGTGTGCCTTCCCCCAATGCACCGCTCTGACACTACAGCACACTTCTGAATTTGACACTGAATTCAACGTCTCTTTGCACCGAACCAGAACATATTTTTAGCCCCTGTGCTGCCCTGCCTTGTGTGGCCCTCCAGAGTCTCATTTTCAAGCCTAAAACAGAAACGTTTCATTCATATGTTAAGCATCTTAATTGCACTGATCGTTGTGACTTTTTTTGCTTGTTTAAATACATTTAAAATGTACTTGTTTTATTATGAACAATTGCAAAATAGCAGTTTAGCATTTTAGCTATTTACAAACCTGCGAATGAAAAATATTAAAAAAAAATGAAAACTATTTAAATTAGCATAAATATAATTTTTTTTAATTATTATTATTTATCCAAGTGTGTTCTATTGAGAGACAGTATATCTTATAGCAGGGGGTCCTGTTCAAGACCGGCCGCATAGAACAAAGTTACAAAAAATAAATAAATAAATACATGTCCCAACACATAGACGCACACAAAAACAGTATAAACCATAATCAATTGTTAAAACATGCATGCTGTTCTAAATTGACAGTGTTTAATTAACTATAGCAATAGATGGTATAGATTTCATATGTAGTATATACTGAAGCTCATTCCATACATATGGAGCATACTTAGATAATGCATATCGACCAAACTCTGTGTGAAAAATAGCATCTTAAATAAGGGTATATCTGCTGATCTGGTATTTGAACATTACTCCAACAAATTAGATATATAGTGTACTATGGTAATTTACCAAAAAAGGCTTTAAAAATAAAAACTAAGATATGATTTTCTCCCTCACTGTAATAAGGTCCATTCTATCAATTTCTGTCAATATAAATTATAGTGATGTGTATTATAATGGCTTACCCAAAACAATACAGATTCACAACTTACCTAAGATCATAAGAAATAAAAATAACTCTACCAGCATTTTTGCCAAATAAATAAATAGATAAATAAAAATACTGTACCCTATTACAAAATAGGAGTCGCAGTGTTCCCAAAGTGCTTTCTAATGGTCACATTTTTTTGTACACATAACATATTTTTAAACATTATAGTTTAAATAACTAATTTCTTTAGTGTTTGCCATGATGACAGTACATACTATTTTGCCAGTTATTTTGCATGATACTAGTATTTAGCCTAAAGTGCAATTTAAAGGCTGAACTGAATTGATTGCAAGTTGGAATAAATAGGCAAGTCATTGGACAACTGTGTTTTGTTGTGTAGCCAATAGATAAACAGCTCTAAATTGGGCTAATAATAATGAATTTAAGGGTGACGCAGTGGCGCTGTAGGTAGTGCTTTCGCCTCACAGTGAGAAGGTCGTTGGTTCGAGCCTCGGCTGGGTCAGTTGGCATTTCTATGTGGAGTTTGCATGTTCTTCCTGCGTTCGTGTGGGTTTCCTCCGGGTGCTCTGGTTTCCCCCACAGTCCAAAGACTTGTGTTACAGGTGAATTGGGTAGGCTAAATTGTCAGTAGTGTATGTGTGGATGTTTCCCAGAGATGGGATATGGCTGGAAGGGCATCCTCTGCGTAAAAACGTGCTGGATAAGTTGGCGGTTCTTTCTGCTGTGGCAACCCCAGATTGATAAAAGGACTAAGCCGAAAAGAAAATGAATGAATGAATAAGAATTTAGCAGGGTTTCATTTAATCAAAAAATCTAGAGGTATTCAAACTTCATTGATTCATTCATTTTCTTTTTGACTTAGTCCCTTTATTAATCAGGGGTTGCCACAGCGGAATGCACCACCAACTTATCTAGAATATGTTTTATGCAGCAGATGCCCTTCCAGCCGCAACCCAACACTGGGAAACACCCATACACTCATGCATTCACACACATACACTATGGCCAATTTAGCTTATTCAATTTACCTACAGTATACCTCATATCTTTGGACTGTGGGGTAAACCCACTCCAACACAGAGAGAACATGCAAACTCCACACAGAAATGCCAACTGACCCAGCCGAGGCTCGAATCAGTGACCCTCTTGCTGTGAGGCAATCATGCTACTCACTGCGCCACCATGACACCCAGCACTAAAACTTTTTTAATGCAAATGATTGTTTATTGATATAATATGAAAACTGATCTTTCCACACCCATCTATCTAAATACATATGCATAATTTACATACATACCTACAACCAGTGTTGGGGAATGTTACTTTTGAAAGTAATCCATTACAATATTACACCCCAAAAAAGTAACTAGTTGCATGACTTGGTTATGGTAATTCAAGCAATACATTACTTTTGAGTTGCTTTTGCGTTTATTTTACCTGTCTAAGGCTTGATCTCTTTCAGAACATGCAGGGTTTTTTTTTTTAATAGAGGAGCTCTGCAATCAACAACACTCATGCAACAATGTGTCATGCACATTCATTTACCTTTAAAACAATACACTAAAAAAATAATAATTTAGAGTATTGTTATCTTCTGAGATCTTCCTGGCCCCAAAGTTATACATGCCGTATATACAGGTTATTGAAAGTTTAAAACAGTGTGTTACTTTTGTACTTTTTGTTTATTAATTAAGTAAACTGACTGTCCATGAAGGGAATCACTTTTTTTTTCAATGCATTCAAAATAATGAGAATGCTTCCATGGCAGAAATCTAAGGCTCTGCTATCTTCATTTCTGTCTGTTCCCACAGGGAGGAAATTCTCATTGAGTGTGAGATTAAACGTGACCACATTCAATTTAATTCTGCAAATTATTTTTTAAAAGCCAATTTATTATAATAAAAATTAACTCAAATATTATTACTTTATTTTTTTAAGTAATGTGTTACTTTTCTCGTTACTTAGAAAAGTAATATTGTTATGTGACTTGTGTTTCTTGATATGCGTTACCCCCAAGACTGCACACAACATTCATACATATGGAACTTTGACAATGTAGTCAACATGACTTGGTTGCTCACCTGTACAGTGCTGATGTTGAGGACTTGGGTATGAACATTGAGAAACAAACCAAGAATGAATCTGGTAAATGGCATGGTTGCTTTAGCACTGTTATTGCACATAATTGTTTTTTTAACACTAGCAGCGTGTGTGTTCAGCTCAGTGTAAGGTTTCAAATGCAATAAAGCATTCACCTTTTAGTGCTACTCACTGGCTGTTTGATTTTTTAACGGCAGCAATAAGTCACATTTATTTCTTGTTGAGGAAATTAAACACTTTTTAGTGCCACTAAACAGACATTTCCCTTTATAACTGCAATGTAATATAACAGTTTTGCAAAATGAGACCTGAGGCACATATTTTCATGAGCCTTGCTTGAAACATACATCTGATATGGTATCTGATATATTCTACTATTCCAAAGCAAATTAGCATCAGCAACTTTATACAATCTAAAACTGAATAGACTAACTAATGAACTTCTTTATGCTTTTATCAAACAGGAAAAGGGGATCTGATTGGATCGGATTCGCTAACAAAAGAGCAGGTGATCAAGACTAACGCAAACGTGAAAGCACTGACGTATTGTGACCTGCAGTACATCAGCCTGAAAGGACTGCGAGAAGTGCTGCGCCTCTATCCTGAATACGCCCAGAAATTTGTCAGTGAAATTCAGCATGATCTCACCTATAACCTGCGGGAGGGCAGCGGAGCTGATGTAAGTGATGAATGCACACATGATCATATTCATAGCAAATGCAAACAATCCCAGAGTTACCTTTGATTCCACATATGTGATTGTAAAGCTTAAGGATTGTGTGCACGCTCTTGTTCTCAGCCTGAAATGTGTGTGCAAGGGACTGAAACAGTTAACACAAATGTGCAGGTCGATACATCACCTCAGATTGGAGTATCAATATTCTACGCTTGTACTCTGGAGCTGATATTTGTCCTATAAATAGTGCTTCAGTCCAATAAGCAAACACGATAATACAGCCGTCTACAGGAACATGTGTTATGATTTCCATTTTCTGCTTTACCAATTTAGTTTTTCTAATAAAATATCATAAAGTACATACAGTACATATAAAAATACAAGCATGTTGTATAAAATAAGAGTAAAGAAGATAAATTAACGGTTTACTAAAAGGAAAATATTTACCCACGTTAGTCAAAATCAAGCTTTCTTTCTTTAATGGAATATAATAGAAGATCATTCTGTCTGTCGTATGTTTAATGGAAGCCAGCAGTACCCAAATTACTAATATTCATCAAAATCGTCTTCTGCTGAAAAAAAGAAAGTCGTTTCAGTTTGGAATGACATGAGGGTTAGTAAAAAGATGACAGAAATTTCATTTTTGGGTGATCTATTTCTTTAATTTTGATGCTGTTGCTCAGATTAACTGGTCTAGCAGAACTTTCATGAGAAGTATTTAAATATTTGACCTTCAGTTGTAGAATTTGATGTAGAGTCATTATCTTTTATAGATCTCTAGAGGAAATATTAATAGCGTTATTTATCTCAAGTTGAAAAAAAAATAGCTTAAACTACCTTGAAGTGAATATCGTAATTTTCATTTTTAAGAGTTTGTATGAAGTGCTTTTCTCAGTTGTGATTTTTCTATACTCAGAGAATGGTGTTAAAGTATTTTCAGGGCATACCCTGTATAATATTCTAGTTTATGTTAGTCATATGCGATTAAATGTTTTTAATATTGGTTGAGTGCATCTATTTATGTTCTAAGATTATGCTTATAGAATTCAACACAGTCTCAAGCACATCTCTCATTATGAATTATTATACAGTTTGCTTTTTTGATCCTCGTGGTTAGATTGTTTGCTCAGCACAAGCCAATGACAAGTTAATTCCTTAGTTTTTACGTGGAGTTCAATTTCATATTCATGTTTGCCTATTAAAGAACCAGGTTTCTGAACAAACACTCAAAAGCCAGATGTGGAAAACTCCCTCAAGGCCTGTTTATATCAGTGTAATATAAGAAAATGGAGCTTTAATGGAATAGCGCTTTTAGAGGGATTTATCTGAGGTGTTGTTTACTTTAGTGTGTTTTCATTTCCAAACAGCATTTTAGAATGAATACGCTCCTGGTGCAGACTGGTGTTTTTATTGCGTTTTAAATGAGTAGTCTCCATCCGCACTATACAGCCTGGAAAAGATGCTTGATATGTGACCATTCAAGCTCAATGAATAAGGGTCTTATGAGAGGTGCTTGATGTTCTTTAGGGAATGAAACACAATGAGTATGTTTACATGGACCCCAATGCAAATAATTCGATTACTGATGTCCATGTAAACATAGTCAATGGTCCAGAATAAAAGTTAGCATTTTAGTCCATATGGTCCAATGGTGTTTGCAAACTAAAACAGGGTCTTTAGCATTTTTAAAATGCTCAGTTTTCGTAGGTGGAAGATGGCAGAGTGGCATGGACACCTGGTGTAACTATAACAATATGTATGCATTTTAAAACAAAAACACATTAGTGTAAATGGCACCTAAATAAGTGAGAACACATCTAACAAGTTTTGATTTGGTTTAGCTCAAATATAAATGCAAAATGGCTCGAAGGACAGCCTGGAAAACTGCAAGTGGCAGGGATTTATGCCGCAAGCAGGATGGGAGACTTTAAGTGGGTGGGACTTCAATTCATCATTTATTTTTTTTGCTTGTTCAAATTACTTATTTAAATGAGCTGAAACAACACAATTCTCAAGATTTCATCGGGACAACTTATTTTTTTATGTTCAATCCACGTAAATTAGTTAAAAGTTTTAAGTCAACTTAATCGATTTGTGTTGGGACAACATGAATGAATTGGGTGGAACCCGGCACACCAATTTATCAACATTTTTTGTGTCAGTATAATAATAAATACAGATTTTTTTTTCAATTCTGAAAGAGAAATGTATAGAGGTTAATAAAACACAATAGCTTAGACTTTGTGTTTTGTACAAAACATAAAACAATTAACCAAAAGCCTTAGAATATTCCTACTTGGAGCTCATGTGTCACCCATTTATAGCCAGTGGTGTAAAGTAACAAATTACAAATACTCAAATTACTGTAAATGATTATTTTTTTCGCAGGAATTGTACTTTACTAAATAGTTAAAAAATTGTGTACTTTTACTTTCCCTTGATTACATTTTTTGTGCAGTATCTGTACTTTTACTCCACTATTTTCCTTCAAGCTGTAGTCACTACTTTATTTTTTCTTGTCTCCAGGGATTGGCTGAGTAGAAAAATCAGTCTTGTGATTCCTGTCAAATCAAATTGCTTATTGAAGTAAATTACATAATACTAAACAACCTCAAGACATGGGCGCTTTACAAATGCAGCAAGCAAGAAAAGTGTCCAAGATATCTAAAATCTACTCATGCTGACCTGCTCTACTCTACTTTATAGCTGACCTGCTTATTTTGAGCTAGCTTCGACCTCTGTTTTTTTACTCAACTCGTCTGCTGCTTTTTAGACATCGATCAAAACAGACAAATCACATGCGAAAATCAGATTTGAATTAGTTTTGGTGTGAGCACACCTTAAATATTTTTTACCAAATTATAAAAAAAAACTGTTGTCCACTGTGAACTTGTGCATATCATGTGCAGAGTTACTCAATGAATTCATGAGCAGCCTGTGACCTATAGACTGGAGGTATGCGTATGTAACGGTGCATTGCCCACATCCACAACCAGCCGAATACAAAATGGATCCCCATCTGCTGTCTTTGGCATCTTTCCTTCCTTCTCTCGCACAGCCTCAAAGTCCGTGTCCTTTCCCTGACTTGGATGCTGCCACTACCCCCTCATGTTCAGGATGCACATGTATTGCCTCTGCACGAGTCCCTCTCACACACACGTTCTCTCAGCCTTGAGTGTAACTTGCAAGGACAGGAATAGCAGCAGGCTGCGGTTTGGAGTGTGTGCCGATACTAAGAATAGCACAGAGGGAAGGCGGGGACTCCTCGCTGGCTGGGTCCCCCGCGCCTCGAGCTAAGATTGGATCCTGTTAGATAAAAATAGCACTGAAGCGAGAGGCATGGAGGTGGGGTGGGGGAGAGATCCCTCTTTTCTCTCCTTTCACTTTATCCTGCAGTGCTGCTTCTGCAAGATGTTTAATGCAGATTCCACCCAATTTATCCCTCTGTTTGTGGAGAAAAAAGGAGAGAGAGGGAATTGATTACAGTCGGTTGGTGCTGTTGCAAGCATATAAAATATAATGTAAGTACTTTATACCTCAAATTCTCCAAAATAGGTGTTCAATCGCATGTAGAGTTTTCACACTGGGACTTGTTTAACATATAAACACCACCATGACAGCTGCATCGCAACGTGCTAAAAGCTGCTCCAAATGCCTTAGCAACCGCATAGAAATGCCCTGGCAACCAGCAACAATAGCATCTTGGCAGTGACTTTCAAAAATGTAAGCATTCAGTTTCAGAACGTGTAAAAATCAAGTTTGTTTGTGCCACGAGACATAACGGATAGGCATTGATGCTCACTTCACGTGTGTGCAACCCCAGAACGCACACAGAATACCAATGAACACACACTCACACACACACACATTTGCACATAATTGCAGAGCTGGTGAGGATTGAAGTGTGATTATTGGGGAAACATCCTTGTTAGTATGTGTGAGTGTGTGTGTATGTGTGTGTGTTTGTGCATTATTGCTCTGGAGGGAAAAGGTAATGCATTCTTTCCTCTCTTTCTTGTTATATTTAGTCATGATTGACTGAACTTGGCGACTCGGGGGACATGGAAATGCCCGAATAAACACCTCCTTTTTCTTCTTTCTCTGGTAGAAGGGGAGGGAAAGAAAGTGAAAACTTCTGTAGAAACACCAATTTAAGCATCTTGCACACATGCACACGATCCCCTCTGGGGTTTGTGTTACTAAGATTGGAAGGAGATGGCTAAAAATAAATCGTCTGCAGTCCCACACCCCACCTAAAGCACAGAGTGTGGGGGTGGAGATCATGAAAGAGAGAGAGAGAAGCAGGGTGCGGAGAACAGGAGGGGGTTGCGGATAAAGATGGAGAGATTTCAGTCAAAGTGAATGGGGGAGAACAAATGGAGGCATGGGAAGAAAGGGACTGCGGGTAGATGCGTGAAAATTTAAATTAGGATTTGTTTTGTTTTTCAATTTCTTCCTATCCTGGTTTTGTGATGATGGAGATAGCAATATATGGCTGAGGAGGACTGCGTCTGAGTTGCCACCCTATAGCGACGGACGGTGATTGACACAGTGTTTTATATGTTTTGACAAAACAAAAATAAACAGTGCCGCCTCTCCTCTCTGCAACCTCTTCTGCGGTGCTGCAAGATAACGCCGCTTGCAGCCTTCCTTTTTATGACATTTTACAAACATGCAATTCTGACAGAGCTTAACAACGAAGGAATTGAAGTCAATTTCAACTTGTGTAAAGACGTGTGTGTTTCTGAGTATAACCAATTGAAGTTCCTTAATGTAGTACAATGGGAAAATATCCTGAGAGTTGAGCGGGAGGTGGAAAACAGAGAAAAGAGGAACAAGAAAAATCAACAGGCTGTGTTAGTCTGCCACGCACTGGCCATGACTCTTTACTACCCATATCAAAATCTATATACTGTACATTTGATTTGTACATTTGTGTTGTTTGTACATACTGTACATTTGGTCAGAATGATTAGCCCCCCTGTTTATTTTTCCCCCAATTTCTGTTTAACGGAGAGCAGATTTTTTTCCCCAAAACATTTCTAAACATAATAGTTTTAATAACTCATTTCTAATAACTGATTTATTTTATCTTTGCCATGATGACAGTAAATAATATTTTACTAGATGTTTTTCAAGACACTTCTATACAGTTTAAAGTGACATTTAAAGGCTTAACTAGGTTAATTAGGTTAACTAGGCAGGTTAGGGTGATTAGACAAGTTATTGTTGAACAGTGGTTTGTTCTGTAGACTATCTGAAACAAATAATTTTGTGCTTAAAATGTTTTTAAAAAAATTAAAAACTGCATTTAATCAAGCCGAAATAAAACAAATAATTTTCTCCAGAAAAAAAAGAAAATTATCAAACACACTGTGCAAATTTTCTTGCTCTGTTAAACATCACTTTGGAAATATTTAAAAAAGAACAAAAAAATCTAATAATTCTCACTTCAACTGTACATATGATTTTTCTTCCACACAACCTTTCCTTTAGTGTTGCTCATCTTGTCAAACATGTGATGCTTTCCACAAACTCTTAAACTCCCAGTGTGCTATTATCAGAACCAGTTTAAACACAGTAAACACGTTTTAATCAGACCCAGATTACAGCCTTCTTATTACAGTTTTTTTTAGTCTCTTTGGGACATTTCTCATTGAAATTTGCAAAACAGTAAGTGCATTCCTCAAAACAGCACAAACAAATAGCAAAACACCATGGATTACCTGCAAAAGCTAGTTTCTTGCTCAAAATCCTTAGTTCATCTCTCAAAAGAGTTTAGTTTAGTTTATTTGTTTACTGGGTCAGTGCACATTAATAAACATTACTGTAAAATATGCCAGAATTAGCCAAGAATGGCTAGTTTTCATCTGTAGACCATACCTGTCAACCAACCCGTTTTTCCTAGGATTCTCCAGTTCTATCCCGCTATCACATCGTTAAGTTATTTTCTCATATTTTTTTCAATCTTTCTATGAAGGGTGGCAATAAACATTAAAGAACAGATTTTATATATATATATATATACATAATGAGTTGATAGTTAAATTCCTTTTGATTCAAGACAAAGGCATATTTCGTTTGTCAAAGTAAGAGTAAGAATAAATGTAATGTTTTATAATTGCCATGGCTGCAAGAGTTTGAAATATTAAACAATATATTTTAACATATTAATATGTAATTTATTCCTGGGAAATTTAATTTTCAGAGTCATTACCTTTTGTGTCGCTTGATCCTTCAGAAATCATTCTAGTATGATGATGTGGTGCACAATTAACATTATATGATCAATCTTGCAGAAAAGTGCTACGTAACTTTTAAAAAAATTCTTTAATAAACAGAATGTTCAAACTAATTGCATTTAATTTAAATAGAAATTACTGTCAGTTTACACCAATTCATTGTGTTCTTAATCGTTTTGATCATTTATGTTTTATCTTAAACAGTTTTCATCCATAAAACAGTCAAAAAAAGCTGCATTATAGCTGTCAGGTTTCTCTGAATAATAGATATAAGTGTATGGGCAACTTGTTAATGAGAATTCTGTTATCTGAGTCTAAACTGGCTTTAATAATGGCACACAGAGAGTTTAAGAGTTTGCTTGTAGAAAGCAGCCCCATTTGACAAGTAATAAATAACATAATTAAAACCCCTATAGATATGCTATGGGTCTGTTATTTGCCAATGACCAAGCTTGTATACTTGGCTAAGAAACACTCAAAATTAACTAATATAAGAATAGTTAAGAATGAATACATGTATCCTGGTTTTGTAATAGGCAGGCTGTGTGCCTATAAATACTAAATAATTCACACAAGTATTAATGAGATCTAATGTTTACAATGGGCTTTCCAGATCTGATCCTGGAAGGACACTGTCTTGCAGGGTGTAGCCCTGATACTAATTAAACACACCTGAACCAAGGTTTTCAGAGCTGGAGCTATTATAGCAAAGATTTGCCAAGCACTGGCTCTCCAGGAGCAAGGTTGTACACTTATATTTTAGGAAAATCCAATATTATTTTGGATGAAGTATCACCCAAGCCACTTTCAACTTATATATGTCAAAATCTTTTATTAATTGCATTTGGTGTGATGGAGTAACCCCCGCTTGTCTGGCCGAGCTTCTGAGATACTAGCAATCATCTCAAACAAACAACTTCTGCACATTCCTCGCACACTCCTGAAGCTGAAAGCGAAGCGTCCTTTTTTAGTAGCTAGTCCTAGATACTGGAACAGACTACCTCAGACAGAGTTTTATATCTTAGTTGAAGACTTATTAGTACTCCATGGCATTTGATAGATTTGTATGTTATTTAATGTGTACAGTCCTTTCTATTAGTTACGTGTTGTTAAGTTCCTGCTTTTTAATCTTAGTATTGGTCTTTGGTACACACAAGTGTTTTTAAATGTGTTGTATATAAATAAAAAAAAAGGCTGTATTTAATTCCATATAGACACTTGCAGAACTAAACTCACTCTTTCTCTCTCAGCTGGACTGGGAAAGTAATGGTGGTCTGGTGAAGAAACTGCCTGCTATCCGTGAGGATGAGGAGAATGATGAAGAGCAGAACTCTGTGTCAAGGGCCCCACGTTCACCTCTTCGTCTGACCAGGGCCCTCAGCTCCCCCTTGCGATCACCCCTCCTTCCCCCCCGACCCTTCCGTGCTCCATCTGAGAGCATGCGACCCGCCACCCTCCAGATCCCTGTGGTCAGTTTCAGCAGCGCCCCTCCAGAACTCAGCCCCAGGTACACACACACACACACATACACATCTCCCATCACATCCACAACCATCTGCAGCCCTCTGGTGGCTCTTATCAGAACTTTATTGATTCATAATTTAGAAGAAGTATCCAGCTACCATGACAACCATTTTTGGTGAAATCTCTGCTTGCTCTAATGATTGGCTTTTCAATTTCACCCTAAGAAATCAAGGCTTATCTAAAGCTGCAATTAAACAAGCAGAAAGTAATGGAGTCCATTTCTATCTAGCCATTTTTGTTATATATTATGTAGCTGATGATGCATTGATTCTTAACAGGTCTTGGTCAGTTGTGCACAAAAAGCCATGATGCATGTTTTATGATGTCTCTGCAGGTTCGTGGACGGCATAGAAACAGAAAGCAATTCCAGCTCAACACAAAGGTTTGAGTTCGGTCCCAGCCTACCTCAGAGTGGCCCTCCATCCCCTTCCCCAGGTACAAACACAGCGTCAAGTCAGAATGTGATTTCTGGGAGGGAACATGAAGTGATATTTCCAAAAATAGACTGTCTTGCACAGTCAGACTTCTCCTGCAGCTTATTCTGGCCAAGAACCGCCCACTTAGACAGGAAGGGACCATCTGACCAATATTTAGAGCTGCCAGCTATTTTTAATGTGGTGGTACATGTAAAGTCATATATAAGCTGAAAATTAAAGCTTTCTTTTTATTTCCGTGGTGATATGTCTTCATTAGTTTTGATGCCACACCTTGAACTTCACAAACTTTGACAAATCTAGTTCTTTCTCTGAAGAATTCACTGTAGCAGATAAGATGTATGCAAATGGAATTGTTACAGTTAAAGTCAGAATTATTAGATTTTTTTATTCCTTTTTTAAATATTTCCCAAATGATGTTTAACAGAGCAAGGAAATGTTCACAGTAAGTCTGAAAATGTTTTTTTTTTCTTCTGGAGAAAGTCTCATTTGTTTTATTTCGGCTAGAATAAAAGCAATTTTAATTTTTTTATGAACCTTTTTATGGTCAAAATTATTAGCACCTTTAGGCTATTTTCTTTTTTTTTTTTTTTGATAGTCTACAGAACAAACCATCGTTATACAATAAATTGCCTAATTCCCCTAACCTGCCTAGTTAACCTAATTAACCTAATTACACCTTTAAATGTCACCTTAAGCTGTATAGAAGTGTATTGAAAAATATCTAGCAAAATATTATTTACTGTCATCATGGCAAAGATAAAAAAAATCAGTTATTAGCGATGAGTTTCTAAAATTATTATGATTATAAATGTGTGGAAAAAAAATAAACGGGGGCTAATAATTCAGGGGGGCTATTAATTCTGACTTCAACTGTTTGTGTGGATTTGTCTGCAGTGAGCCAAGAGCAGCTGGAGTCAAAGCAGAGCATCACCAAACTGAGTGAGGAGGTAAGTCAATCAAGAATAGCAAATACAAATGACAAAAAAATAAAATATTTTAAGTATGAAATACATTTAAATATGTTTGCATAGTATTCAAAATTGAGTAGTTGAGGCAAGCTCATTGGTCTAAATCATGAGAGACCAGAGTTAGTCTGGTTATAGACCAGGTGTGTCCAAACTCGGTCCTGGAGGGCTGGTGTCCTGCTGAGTTTAGTTCCAACTTGCTTCAATGCACCAGCCAAGTAAGTAAGAGTAAGAGCTTGATAAGCTGGTTCAGATGTGTTTGATTAGGGATGGAGCTAAGCTCTCCAGGACTGAATTTGGACACCACCGTTATAGACTCTCAAATTCTGGAGTTCTGCACCACTGCACATGCAGTTTATATCACTAAAAACCTCCTTCTAAAAGTACAACAAGGTCTACCAAAAGCTATAAGCCACTAGAGGCCATGCATTACATTGATTTTTTACCACTTTTAAAGGGTGTTAGAAAAGTGGCTTATTGATTTTTTTGTAAAAAGGCTGCACTACAGCATCAAATAAGACCTCTTTGTTTAGTAAGTACATGATAATATAGAGTTGACCGGTCATCGTTTGCAAACTTAACCCAGTCAGGATGATCAAGGCCCTGATTCCTAGTAAAATGCTATTAAAAGAAAGAAAATGTAAAACAGTAAGTGATATTTGTCTAAAACATCTACAAGGAAATCGCTGTCTTGGACAATGTTTTACTGTGCAGTGTGCCTCCAAGTTTTGGTATTGACACACTAATCATCATGTTGTAACTAAAATGTTATTTATGGGTATTAGTGCATTTATACACTGTAAAACCCAAAAATTTAAGGTAACTTAAACTGTTTGAGGAAACCAATTACAACAAACCAACTTCAAAAACTACTATTAATTAGTACTGTGAACTTAATGAATTTGAGTAAATAAAGCAATTTAAGCACAGTAAAACCCAATAAACAAAGAGAATTCAAACTCAGTACTGTAACACTCAATAAGTTAAGGCAACTCAAACCATTAGAGGAAACCGATTGCTACAAACCATTCGAGTTGAAAAACTCATCTTTATGAGTACCGTGTACTTAATTAATTTAAGTTGAAGTTATGAGGTATTTAATTAACTCCTTACCTTCAACACTGAGTTCAAAACTCTTTTCAAATGAGTAGAATTAACCTTTAGTCAATTTTGAGTTAACTACACTCATTTCATTAGATAAAGTTGGCTGTTGGGTTTTTCAGTGTATGAAATTGACAGATTTGCAGGAATGGCTCTAAATAAAGGACACCAGTCTGATTGTATTTGCGCATTTACTTGCATTCTGTTGATCTCATTCACAGATGACTAGTCTATCCCAGCAAGTCTCTCAGCTGAGCAAAGAGCTACAGGAAATGACACGTCTCCTCCGGCCCATACTTGTCATGGGATCTCAAACCCTCCTGACTGCCCTCAGTCCAACAATGCCTCAGTCTCCCAGCAGTTGCAGTGGTCCAACAATACCCACGCCACCAGCTCCTTCACCCACAGCCTCACCATCCACGCCACTCAGGCCAACTTGCTCCCTATTGGACAGCGCAGACACCGGGAGCATTGGCTTACCCAGTTGTCTCCTACCCACCAGCCCACCACTGAGACCCCATGCACAGGTTCAGGTGTCTCCAACAGGCTGTTCGAGAGGGCCTTCCCTGCCAGTCCTCATTTCTCCAGTGACAGCCCAAACTGAGGGGCCTGGCACCCAGGCAGCTCCAAACCAGCCACCACAAGCCAATCAGCCCCCTTCTCCATCTTTAACCTTTTCATACTCACTGCCATCTTTCCGCTCCCAGTCTTCTTCCTGCTCCCCCTGCCAGGGGCCTCACCGACCTGCCAGTCACAGCAGAGGTTTGCTACCTCAGCCCCCCTCACTGGACAACCCAAATCCACCACTCTCACATTGCTCGGCCCCACCCTCAATCAATAACTCCCCAGGAGACCAAAGGGTGGGTTTCAGCCAGTTCCCCTCGTCCCCTTCCTCCTCTCGCATCCAGCCACGGGCATGCACTCCTCCTTCTTCTTCTTGTCCACACACATCTCCACCCTTGCCCTGCTCTCTGGACTCCCTGCCAGAAACACAGGCCTCTTTTGGCCCTTCATGGTTGCCGCAGAACACCGTCCCGGGACCTCCCCAGTTAGAGATTGAAATGCAAGAGTGGGCAGCAACAGCAGGGAGGCCCAGCACAGAGCATATCAGCTTCATAGATGAAGAAGGACCACCACTGTGAGAGACTGAATAAAGATGACTAGCTGACTTAGCAAATAAGGGAGTGGTGAACTGGGCTAACTGCAATGTCCCCAACAAACCTCCATACCGAATTGATTGCTTTCCCATTAGGATGACACTCTTATAACTACACAAGTTGTGGCTCTGTTCCAAAACTTAGTGAGCTGCCTAATCAGACAGCTTAGTTATCCCATGCTCCAAAAGTAGACATCTAAATGGGTTATCTTTAAAGGTACATTGTTTGGCCAGAATTTCAGATCGCAGTGTGAGCTAGTTACAAATGCAACCCAGGATTGTCCCACCCGTTAAATTGCTAAAACCACACAAGAAACACATGCTACATGAATGCCATCTATTCTTCATAGATAGAACCATTTTGACTGTTTGCACATTATGTTGCAGCGGTCTGATGAAGCTTTTAGGTTGAGGTTAAATTGTAATTCCAAGGTCTAGAGCAGGGGTGCCCAAACCCGGTCCTGGAGGGCTGATATCCTGCATATTTAGTGCTAACCCCAATTAGACCCATCTGAAACAGCTAATCAAAGTCTTTTAAGGTGTACTAAAACATGGGTGTCCAAACTCAGTCCTGGAGGGCCGGTGTCCTGTTGAGTTTAACTTACCTCAGCACACCTGCCAGGAAGTTTCTAGTATATCTAGTAAGAGCTTGATTAGCAGGTTCAGGTGTGTTTGATTAGGGTTGGAGCTAAACTCTTCAGGACACTAGCCCTCCAGGACCGAGTTTTGGCACCTATGGTCTAGAGCAGGGGTGTCCAAACTCAGTCCTGGAGGGCTGGTGTCCTGCAGATTTTAGCTCCAACTTGCCTCAACACACCTGCAGGGATGCTTCTAGAAAGCCTAGTAAGAGCTTGATTAGTTAGCCCAGGTGTGTCTGATTGGGGTTGGAACTAAACTATGCAGGACACCGGCCCTCCAGGACCGAGTTTGGGCACCCCTGGTCTAGAGCACAGAACTCTCATTACAAACCAATATATTCTCACTTTCAAAGTAGCTTAAACACATCTTCATTCGTAGTAGCCTTTATTAGTCTGATTTTAGCATGATGCTAAGCTAATTCTAACAGAACTTTCAACTGCTAGAAATATTGATATGAACAGTTGCATGTAATTATTAATGAAAGAAAAATATTAAGCCTAATATTGCGTGTACTGATGTATTGGGTCAGATATTAGCTTAGCAACATGCTAATGCCAAGCTCATTTGAAATCCATTGTGCACAAGTGGTTAGATTACTTGATTTGGGGGTTTTAGGAAGGACAGCTGTTAATCCTTTCAGTCATTTATGAGCTTTGGTTAGATTTAAATTTAGATTGTAGCTGCCTATGTATTGAGGCAGTTCACTATGCTTTTGAAACAGCCACTGATATTCACTGCATGGCAGCACACCAGTACCTGATACCAGCCAATTACTCTTCTCTGAGCACAACTTGATGAAGTTCCTCTTCTAAAGGCATTATATGACCTTCACATGCATCATAGTGACCCAATTGGCACGGATCCCACTGCGGCCATAAATCCCCTTGCTATAGGGGAATTTAATATAACAAATGAAAGTGCACTGATTACCTTGCATAGCTGTGCACTGATCATGCACAGACTACAAGAACTGTCAGGTGGTGTTTCTTATCTCTGTATTACCAAAACAATGTTTGTACTCTACTAATTACCCACTTTGTGAGTTAAGTTCGCTTTTTGAATTTCCAAACTTGGCAAATGAATGAAGCTGTCACAACACATTCTCCATCATACTTCACTTGTTTGCTCCAGATTGTCTCGAGCCAGTTAACACATTCACTAGCCAGAACCACCAGTTGCATATTAGGTTAGCACGGAGACCTTGGGAAATATCTGTCCTCCGTCAGATTTAGCCAGTTTCAAGATTTCTTCAATATAATCTGTCAAAACAAGTATGAATTAGTGCTAGCTGAAATTGTAACACGCACACATATGTACAGTACATGTAGCCAGGGTATAAAATTACCATTTGCAACACTTCAAAAAAAGAGCTGCAGCCATTAAACAATATTAAAGAAATAGTTTAACCAAAAATTAAAATGGCCCCTTAATTCAACCATCCAGGTGGAATTGGTGCAGTAGTAATGTGGTCGATGGATCAGTGCGTTGTGGGAAAGAAGCAGCTAAGCCAAAAGGCAAAGCTCTTGATTTACCAGTCAATCTACGTTCCTACTCTAACTTATGGTCATGAGCTTCGGGTCATGACCAAAAGGACAAGATCTCGGATACAAGTGGCCAAATAAGTTTCCTTCACAGGGTGGCAGGGCACACCCTAATAGAAAGGGTGTGGAGCTCTGTCACCCGGGAGGAGCTCGGAGTAGAGCCGCTGCTCCTCCACGTTGAGAGAAGTCAGCTGAGGTGGCTCGGGCATCTGTTTCAAATGCCTCCTGAACTCTACCTAGGGAGGTGTTTCAGGCATCTCTCACCTCGGGGAAGACCCAGGGCACGCTGAAGGGTCTCTCGGCTGTGCTGGGAACGCCTTGGGGTCCCCCTGGAGGAGCTGGAGGGAGTGTCTGAGGAAAGGGAACTCTGGGGTTCTCTCCTAAGACTGCTGCCCCCACGACCCGGCCCAGGAAAAGCAACATAAAATAAAGTAATGAATGAATTTAACTATCCTCAAGCTGTTCTCAGTGTATATGACTTTCTTCTTTCAGATGAACACAGTGTGAGCAGTTTTAAATTTGATCACTGCTCTTCCATGCTGTAAAATGGTTTTGGGTAGTGGCCACTTATCTGAAGCCTCCAAAAGTGCACAAATCTGTTGTAAATCTGCCCCATATGCCATCGGGGTTAACACGTCTTATAAAGCAGTTCTATGTGTGCTTGTAACCAAAATATTTCACATGTTTAAATGATGAAGTTAAATCGTTTTCTTTTGCTGGCTGCTAAATGCAACTTGTTGGCTGAATTCGGACTTAAAATACACTTTAAAAAATGCTGGCCCTCCTAATTGATTTGTGTTAGGACAACATGAAGCAATCAAGTTAACTTGCTAGTTTTTACAAACTTGTGGACAAAGTGGATTGAACTTAAGTTTGTAAAAAAACAAGAATCATATTAATTCAGCTCACTTAAATTGGTAGTTTGAACAAATAGCAAACACTTTTTTTGTGTATGAAACATCACGTAAGACTTATTCATGGACTTATTTCATAGTCTGTTTACCACAGAAGATGACGATGACCAACAAATCTAGTTCACGTGGTGTTACTGTATAAAAGACTATTAGTATTACTATGTCTTCCACTGCTAATGCGTCTTACATCATATACATCAAGTCAGAGGTCAGCCAAGATTTCAAGAATGTGCATCCAGCAGCAGTCAGTGATTAAAGTTTTATCATTTAAAAATGTGAAATATTTTAAACACATCGATCCTCTTCATAAGACGCCCTCTAAACAATTTTGGGTTGCCATAAACCAACATTGGAACAAATATGGAAAACCCGATATTGAGATAACTCTTAATTAAATTCAAATGACACGACAACCCAGCATTTTATGTTGTTGATTTTTTGTGTGTGTTTTGGTGGCATTTGGGTTAGTTTTACCAGTTTTATCTGTTTCTTGTATTCCTTGTAAATCTATACATTTGGAGAAACCCCTGCAGGACATTACATTAAGCAACAGTAAGCCTGCGTAATGCCCCATGTCAAAATCTTGATTTTGTAATAATTTGGTTTTGTTTTACAGCTTTAAACGATAAAATGGCCTCACGTTTCTGAAACCGCCACAATAAAAGAACAAATTGGTCTTTTTATGATACTTAGCTAAAATTGTTAAAAGATTACCAACCATCTGGCCGCTTCATTTCTGCGCCAAAGCCAATTTATTTTCATTTGCGCTTGGCAAAAGTTCATTTGTGGCCCTGCATGTAAAAATTCATGACATGCTAAGCACTCTAGCATGTAGTATCCTCCTAAAAAGTCATGGTGGCCAAGTTACATCTATCTCCTTTAAAATGAATTAAAACAGGAAAATTTAAGACAATCATTAGAGCAGTGTTTCTCAACTCTGTCTCTGGAGGCACACCAACAGTCCACATTTCCCAACTTTTCCTAATCAAACACAGCTGAACCAGCTCATCACATAATTAGAAGAGATTCTAAAACCTAAAATGAATGGTTAAGATGAGGGAGGGGGGCGGCACTGTGGGTAGCGATGTTGCCTCATAGCTAGAAGGTCACTGGTTCAAGCCTCAGCTTGGTCAGTTGGCATATCTGTGTGGAGTCTGCATGTTCTTCCCATGTTGGTGTGGGTTTCCTCTGGGTGCTCTGGATGGATGGGTGGATGGATGAATGGATGGATGCATAGATGATTGGGTGGACCGACGGACAATTCGAGGGATGGATGATGGATAAGATGGTTGGATGGATGAATGGGTAAGATGAATGGATGGATGGATGGATGGATGGACAGTAGAATGGATAAGATGGATGGATGGATGGATGGATGAGATGGATGGATGGATGGATGGATGGACAGTAGAATGGATAAGATGGATGGATGGATGGATGGATGGATGGATGGATGGATGGATGGATGGATGGATGGACAGTAGAATGGATAAGATGGATGGATGGATGAGATGGATGGATGGATGGATTTCCTCCAGGTGCTTCGGTTTCCATCACAAGTCCAAAGACATGCGCTATAGGTGAATAGGGTAAGCTAAATTCTCCGTAGTGTGTGTGTATGTCCTGGTTCTCCAGGTTGGGGGTTGAGTGTGGTGCTAACGATTCACCTCATAAAAATGAGATGATATGAAACACCAACATGGCATGGCTAAATATCAACTTTGATTTAAACAGCCCTGCGAGTAATCTGAGGGAGACATCCAAAGTATGAACTGTTGGTGTGCCTCTAAGAACAGGGTTGGGAAACACTCATTAGAAAACACTAAACAGATCATAGAACCCGTGTCATGGTACCACACAAAACCGCTCATATTCAACTACATCAGGGGTCAGGATGCCATATGCTGGATCCTGAGAACTTGACATGAACAGCCAGAGAAGTCAATTTATGTATATATACACACGACTGAAATAAACTCAAATACACAGCTTTAGCCATCCTGCCAGCGTGCCTTCTCATAAAAATAAAAGCGAAAAAAAGTCCTCTAGCGCTCCCCATAATCCAGCACTCACAATACTTCTCAAAAGCTGTTGGCTGTATGACAGTAGAGAGCACTGCACTTTTATTTTGCATATTTATTTTCAAGTTTCTATCATTGTATGTATTTATCGATGTATCTGCGACCCCAAAAACACGCTCCCACGAGGAACCTCACAGACAGTTCTAGCAGCCGCTGCCGATAGAAGCAGAAACACCTCAAACTGAATGAGTTTCTGACCACCATGTGATTATGGATCTCAGAAATGGTGATCACCTCAGCGTCTCGAATTGA